CTGTGACATGTCCTAATAGAGTCTTTGTCATTGGAAACTAATCTGAGCATTGTTTCGGTCACAAACAGTCCACATCTTTGTTTGCCACCATTGAAAACACCAGCGCTCGTGTGTGTCTTCTGCTGCTGTGAATGTTTCTGCTGATCTGACGACATCTGCACTCAGATTCACGTGCAAGTACATGTCATTGAGACTCGAACGCTAGGTTTCATTGTGAAAAGGGATTATGGGCTAACAATCGCCACGCTCTCATGGAGACACACTGCACCGGGGCAGAGTTTGATCTAGGCCACACTGTCAGACTAATGACCTGCACCCACTTCAAGCCCCTGAAAAGCCACAGCTAATTGAGACATTGACACAGTGACCAGCAATGCCTTTTATTCTTGTTTAAGAATTAATCAAACGTTGATTATATATGGCTTTTAAATTCATTTTAGCTTTGCATTCAATTCATTTTCAGTCTGAATAGCTTTACCTTTCTTTTTTTATGTGTTTGTTTTACAGCAGCCACATTAGCTAGGATTATGTGCTTAAATTGGGAAGAGTTAAAAAAACAGAATTCATTTGATCTAGCGGTGAGAGTCTTTACACTATGGCTTTAAAACCAAGCACAAAAGAGTTGAGCTTGAACTGAATAATACCTTTATGTGCTCTAGTTCCAATAGTTACCTTACCCATTTTTCTATTTTTCTATTGGCTTATAGAACTATTTTAAAACCACTTGACTATATATTTGCCTTAAAATCATTAAAAGAAATGGGATAACATTTGTCAGATTACTCAATTCATTCAACTGAGTAGCTACTTACAAGTTAGATTAACAGAGTCCATCTGCTGCATGTATTACATGCAGCAGATAGTTTCAGGATATCTTTCTGTATTTTAGTTTAATACAGGGGAATGTCACTGATACAGTTTATCACCAGTGAATTATTTTGAAAGTGTGTAATTAGCATCCTGCTGGTACTAAACATTATCTGTGTTGGCAGCCACAGTGCTATTGCTTGAAGTGCAGCTGCAAATATTTGTGAATATTTTCTTTTTTGTTACACAGATTATTGTTGTTATATGAAACTAGGGATGCACTGATCCAGCTTGATCCGTTTTATTTGTCTTATTTATTTGCACTTGTCTTTACAATCACATTGCCTTCCTCCTTGGTATATTAGCTGTGCACCAGTTTGCTGCAAACAACATGAAACTGAATTGATCTGTCAGGAGCATCTGATCTAGGTTTTTGAGTCAGGATCGGCGCAATAGCCATACCAAATATTGCATCACCAGTTGAAACATTAGAAAGTCACTCAGAGGTGATGTTAGCTTAATTGGCTTGCCTTGACACAGCTTTAAAAAACAGCTCACAATAGTTAAAAAAATTCATGAGCCAGTTTGTGCTGTTCTAATTATCTTGTCCGAAACCTTGCTTGTTTTGCATAATATCTCATTGATAACATCTCCTGGTAGATATCAGGTTAGAGCTGCTGTAACCAAATCATGTCAGAGGAAGTCTTTATTGTGAACTCTGACTCGCACGTAACCTCCAAAGCAAAGAGTGCTGCTGCATTCAGTCTCTCCTAGAGCTTTACTTTCATCCAGTAAGTGCTTCTAATGACTTTATGTCCTGTAGTGTATTTATATGGTTCTTTACTTCCAGCTTGCATGAGCTGATGAAGCCGGTGTGACTCCCATGTACACATCGTTACATCATTAACTGTGTCAGTGTTTAAATAAGCCTCTGCTCTGCTAGCTTAATTAACACAGTGAGATGTGACAGGATATTCCCAGAGATGGGAACAATAGCTGGGCTCAGAAGAGTCATGGAACACTTAGCTCCCAGACAAGGAATCATATCTACTTTCCCTAAAAGCCTGGCAGATAGACATCTCAGAACCAGAACTGCATTAAAGGAGTCATGTTGAATTAAAGAGCTTGTTATAGTACTGAGCTACACACAGAGTTACTAGCTGCATTTAGATCTGTTGTCTAACTTGAGCAGCTTTTTGACTAATTGTAACTAGACTGAAGCTGCAGTCCTCTCAGGACCATGTCTGTTTTCGTCTGGTAGCCCAGAGCGTGAAAGTCGATCTCTGTCAACCCTGACTTAATCCAGTACGCGCTGGAAGTAATACCCATTTTGCATGTTGATATGACACTATCTGTTTCAGATACAGTAACCAAAGCATTTATAGATGTCACTGTCAGCTTTACCTTTTGTTAGCTGTAGCAGCATTAGTTGGTCTGCACGTAGTGTCCCAGCTGTTGATCATTTCGAGAACAGTCATAATTTTCAGATTGGAGTTGAAAATCTATTTTAAGAAAAGTTGAGATTGTATTTCTAGATAAAAGTCTGGAATTGTGCTTTCACATTAAATGTTTTTGTTATTTTTGCAAGGTTGAGTACAGTCTCCATCTTTATGTCTGTCCCTTAAATATTCTAAATATATCTGCTCTTTATTTCCTGTGGATTTCCTTCATCACTGTGACCAGTTGCAACCAGAACAGTCAAAGCTTGTTTTTAATCCAAGACCCTGGGAGCTTTTCATCCATAGCAATGTTTGGAAGTCATCCAGCATCTGCTGATCTCTGTATGTTGGCACAGGTGCTTCCAGGTCACCTTTGGCTTCATTTGTTCACCTCATCTCAGTGTGCACCCCGCCGGTTAGGACCAGCCTGCACACACTTGCACATAAAAAGTAACAAAAATATAACACCATGTCAGTTTTCCTGTCAGAAGTCACTCTGGCTTGTCAGGTGGAGCTGTGGCTGCGATGGGTGCTGCTGGTGTGAAAGAGGCACTTAAAATGAAAGTGACAGCCAAACAGCAGCAATCAGCTCCACATCTGCACCTAACGAACGGATATGGAAGCATACCAAGATTCCTTCAGTATCTGGACCCACATGATCGTGATAGTCCAATGATAAGCCTGTTTTTCTAACAAGTCTAATCCCTTCTATCTCCGACAAGTTGCTCAGCAGCATCACCAGCTTTTGCTTGCTGTAGAGCTTTGCTGCCGATGGGTCCTGAGGTCGTCCGATCATCCTGGTCATGTAGAGATGTGCGTTTTTTGGTTTCTGTGTATACTCTGCTGTATTGTTTACCTCTATTATTTAAGAAGAACTAACTTGTCTCTGCTTCTTTTGCTGCTTAAAAAAAACAAAGCTTAATTCCAGTCTGATTTTTTATCAACAACACACTCAAAAAGAGACAGTAGGTTTCAGAAGGACAATAAAAGATGCCTCCACAGTCAAGCGCAGTTATAGTGGTTGACTGCACAAATCATTTTCTGGTCCCTGAGACTAAAACATGTTTCATTTGTACAGAAGAAAAACATTTTTCTCTTCTATAATTTCTACTAAGTCTTTACTTGAAATGCTGTTCACATTTTGATGTTATGTGCAAAGTGCAAAAGTGAAGTATACCTCGTAATGATACATCTTAAAAGGGGGTGTCAAGCTTAATTTAAAAGAGAACTGCCTCGGAGGCTAGATACATGCAGTTAAAGGACCTGCATTTATCTAATGTGAAATGCATGCTGCACCTAATCTTCTGTGTACATCTTAGGTCCAAGGCCTCAACCAGTCATCCAAATCTCCATTTAGTCAAGCAAGCCTAAAAGTCTTGCTAGCTATGGCTTGTCTGGGTTGGTGTGTGGATAAGCACATATTGCTGTGCAGACCACAGATTAATTAAAGTGTTAAATCCAAGATGGACTAAATTTTGCAAAGGGCAGGATTTGGCACACAGACTTTGACTGAAATATGACATGAAGGATGCTGCATTATGGCTTTCAACGTTTCCACATTTGTCATTTTTTATTAATTTTTACAAAATCTTTGAAGGTCTTTCATTTTTATGTGCTTTCTAGAACATTTTTGTACTGGCAGATGTCTTAATGATTTTGTCTACATCAGTTTGGGTCTGTGTCAGATTATCTTGATATATAATGCAACTGATATCACAGTCAAATGCCCATGCATTCCACTGTTCCAGTTACATTAATGTAATCTAAATCCCTACATTGTGGCTGATTGCATAAGTTGTATTATGTTCACCTTTGCCGGTAGACACACTTACGCACTTGCTCTCAGTGTGAATGGCTGCTGGCTTTTTTTCTTCGTCCATTGTTCAGCATCTGCTAGTTCAACAACAGAGTAGGTCTGTGAATTATGGATGTGCGGGGATGAGAAATGGCGTCTTCTGATTCATTATGTTGTTTGAGACTTCCTTTCCGTGGCAGTACAGGACAGAGTTGGATATTTCCGTTTACATGTATGCTTTAGCTTTGGCAGTGCTGGTAGGTTGGTGCACCACTTTAGTCACTACAGCTGGGTGGACCACTAGAGAAAAACATTGTTTAAAAATCATTGTTTAGGATTATCCCGTGAGATATCTCAGTATCTACCAGATGATTACAAAATGTCTCTGTAGACGGATACAATTTGGAACTGACATTTATGCCGCTTTTGAATGGGGTCACATTAACTTGTGAACACACAGGGGCCTGTTCTCCACATGTGGATTAACCTTTTATCCGGATGAGCAGTCCATAGTAATGGAGACAAATATGGGATTTCCTGCTACTGCTCGTAAACAGTTCCGAATGAAATAAAGAAATTACACCAAGACCTGTGATATGACACAAGCAGCAGGAGATAAAAAGTCAAAATTGATGTCCTGCCAGTTGGTCCATGGAGGTAAAACCACCTCTTTAGTATTTTATTAATAATATTCATAGTAAATATTCTGTAATCAGATAGCTTAAAAAAAAAAATCTGTTCGCAATCTTTCTCCCACATGGACAGTGTTTTCTGACTAAACATGCAAAATATGATTTTTTTTTGCCATTTTTCAAGTGGTCTTAAACTTTTGATCCGGACTGTATTTCTCTTGTTTTTCCTCTTCCAAACTATTGTTTAATTGAATCGTTCACATCTTTAAGCCATCCTAATCTGAAACTTTTAAACATCCTCATCTGTTTCTTCCTCTCTCTGTGCAGAGAGCAGCCCATCTTCAGTACGCGGGCCCACGTCTTCCAGATAGACCCGAACACCAAGAAGAACTGGGTTCCCACGAGTAAACATGCCGTCACAGTGTCGTACTTCTTCGATAGCACCAGGAATGTATATCGAATCATCAGTCTGGATGGATCCAAGGTGTGTACAAGTAAAGCCAGTTCTTAACCCTACCTGGTACAGGATTGCAGTTTTGCAGGATTGCAGTTTTTTAACCTATGTTTACATGTTTATCTGCATCCTTTTGATTTCATCGAACTTCTTTTACGTGCTTTGCTATAGTAACATTACTTGTTCAGCTATCAAACAATTACGTATTTTTATCGTAGAAATGCTTTCATCCACCACACATTCCACCACCCAAGAATAATTTTTTGGATTTCACCAAAGTGGAAGTAAAGCACTCTTCCATGTCTTTTGTCCCGTCTCCCTCACCCGCAACCAGTCAGTGAAGATGGCCTTCCCTGAGCCTGGCTCTGCTGGAGGTTTCATCCTGTTGAAAGGGAGTTTTTCCTTCTCACTGCCAAGTGCTTACTGATACAAGGCAATTTGATTATTGTGCTTTCTCTGTATAACTTTTCATGTCTTTACCTTACAGTGTAAAGCACCTTAAGGCGATTGGTGTTGTGATTTGAGGCTATGTAAATAAAACTGAATTGAATTGAAGTTTTAATTGTATATAAATATATTCATATAAATAATTGGAAACACTGGTTTTCCATCAGTGCATATTCTTTGTGACTGCTGTGCCTCAGCCGGGCCTCTCTCCTAGAGCAGTGAAGTTGAACTCAGGCCCGTCATATCTATGTGGCAGTGATTATTTTAGTCTTGAGAGAGGTGCAGGGGTGGAGTTAGCATAGTTATGCAAGAGTCTCTATGGGTGACTAGCGGTGCTGTTGTTGAACCAGCAAGTTAGCTGTGCTGTGCTGGAAATAGCAGCAGTCGGGTGGGCTGGTGCTTGGAGGACATTATTATCCAGACAACAAGAAGGATTCTCAGCAGAGACACACAATGACTGGTGTTACTTGCAAAGTTCCAGAGGGAGCAAACTTTTGACATGTTTGACATGTTAGTACACCCATGGATCCTAGAAATACACAAAAAGTGGTTATAACCTGTTTGTTAATAATAAGAGTTTTCAAAACTTTATAGTGAGTTCATCCATTTTTTGGCTTCTTGGTTGCACATTTAATAATAATAATTGCATTTATATAGCGCTTTTCGAGACCCTCAAAGTGCTTTACAATTCCACGATTCATTCACTCTCACGTTCACACACTGGTGGAGGCAAGCTACAGTTATAGCCACAGCTGCCCTGGGACAGACTGACAGAAGCGAGGCTGCCATATCGCGCCATCGGCCCCTCTGGCCATCACCAGTAGGCGGTAGGTGAAGTGTTTTGCCCAAGGATACAATGACCAAGATCGAACCGGCAACCTTCCGGTGACAAGATGAGCTTCCCAACCCCCTGAACCACGGCTATTTTGGTTTACTCAGCAGCAGCAAAAGCAGGCAGATGTTTTCAACAACAGGAAAAAAACTGTCCGACATGCAACCTGCTCCAGCTGCTAGCTGCTGAGCTTTTAACAGCTCAACAAACACAGTCATGATTACTCATAATGTTTCTCCCTCACTGCTGCTGATTGTGTAAATGGGCAACTGTTTGCAAGATCAATTAAAAAGTTGATTTTATGTCAGTAGTTTCTGCTGCCCCCAAGTGGTTCATGAAATTGATATCACAAGCTAAAAACATAGCCACTTGCAAATTGTTGACATTTGCCTACCCGCTGTGTTCAAATGCTTATTTTGAAAACCATGAATGTTTGTTTCTGCTCTTCCCTTCTGTTAACTTTCTTACAGCATGTCAAATTTTAGAAACCACTGTTATGTGTTACTGTAAGTGTATAACTAATGAGAAACATACATATATATTTGGTAAATCAGCAGTTTTTTCTACCAGGTCAGACTTTTTTTGGAGGTTTATCTTGGGTGTTTGGTGAAAGAGTAAAAAAAAAAAGAAAAATCAATACAAAACTGCACTCATAAAAGTTACTTTTTTAAAATCTAAAAATTCCCATGAACCATTTTGCAAGTCTAGAATGATCCTGCCTTACTTACTCCACTACTTGGGCAGATTCCATCCAAGAACTAGTGCAAATTTTATTGTTTTTATATTGTTTTAAAGACCACATGTACAGACTGAGATACCCATGCACCTCCTCACAGAACCGCTCTTTAAATTCAGTGTCCATCATGTTTTCCTCTGTTCATGTGCACTTACAAAGTAGTGGTCACAACACATTGGAGGGTACACATGGCTTCTGCCCCATGATGGTAGGCCACTCCACACTGCCCCGGACCCCTCCTGCTGTAGTGGGCTCATGTCACTCTTTTGGTCTGCGTGCGGCCATCCCTGACCACCAGGCTTGTGCACTTGGATCAGGTTTTGACAGTCTGATGGAGTCATTTCCTACTGCATAAAGCTCAAGAAAAGCAAGCATGCTGACCTTGAGCTGACAGTGATTTCTTTTCTTTAACTCTAAACTCTCTTTGGCTTGAATAAGCTGTACATGTGTACATTTGATTATGACGTTCTGTCATGTGCAACTTGTCCCCAACAGGCCATTATAAACAGCACCATCACCCCCAACATGACGTTCACCAAGACATCGCAAAAGTTTGGCCAGTGGGCGGACAGCCGAGCCAACACTGTCTACGGCCTCGGCTTCTCATCAGAGAGCCACCTGGTTAAGGTGAGAAACTGCCGATGCCCTATCAGAAACCAGAGCTCGCTGCTCAGTTGCCAGCCGTGCTGTAGTATCAGTTGTTTCTGTTACTTCAGTTTGCAGAGAAGTTTGCAGAGTTCAAGGAGGCGGCACGGTTAGCCAAGGAGAAGTCTCAGGAGAAGATGGAGCTCACCAGCACGCCCTCTCAGGTAACAGACACTAAAAACACTGCCGCTGCCTCAGACCTAGTACCACCACCACAGGTGATGCAGAAGTGCTGGCAACTTGTTGTAATACAAACCCAACTGTTGAGACACTGTGCAAAGTGTAAAAACAATGCAAGAATTTGCAAATCTTATAATCCCATATTTCCCTCATTATATAACATGAGTGTTTAAACTGAAAAAATCTGCAATTTTAAGAAAAATGCTGGCTCATGTTGATTTTTGACAGCAGAAACACATCTCAAAGAAGTTGGAACAGGGCCGTGTTTGTCACTATGTAGCATCTTCTCTTCTGTTAACGACAGTTTGTAACCATCTGGGAACTGAAATATTAGAGAATATAGACAAAGCTAACACGAGTAAATACAAACTGCAGTTTTTAAATGATGATTTTATTTACCAAGAGAAAAGAGGTATCCACACATACCTGCCCCCTCAATGGAATAACTTGTGCCACTCCTGGCAGCAATAACTGGCAATGAGTCTTTCACGTGACTGTGGAGGAATTTTAGCCCACTCTTCTTTGAAACATTGTATTAATGTAGCTCCATTGGTTTTTGTTTTTCTTCTTAGCCTGTTGAGGGTCATGCCAAAGCATTTTAATCAGATTTAAATTTGGATTTTGAGCTGGATACTGAAAGAAAACCTTCATTTGAGGTGGACTTGCTGGTTTGTTTCAGATTGTAAATTGAAAATGAAAATTCTCCTTCATGATTTTCTCAGTAGACATTAGAAATTGTTGTTCCATACGTTTTGGCGTCCCAGGTCCTAAAGCAGCAAAGAAGCCCCAGACTATCACACTACCACCACCATGTTTGACTGTTGGTATGACCTTTTTATGAAATGTCGTGAGTTTTACAGCAGATGTAACGGGACTCAAACCTACCATCAAGTTCAACTTTTGTCTCATCAGTCTACAGAATATTTTCACAAAAGTTCCCAAGATGTTTGTTGCAAATGTGAGATGAGCTCTTGTGTTCTTTTGGTCAGCAGTGGTTTTCTCAATGGATGCCATTTCTGCCCAGTCTCTGTCTTATACTTAACTCATGAATACTGACCTAAACTGAGGCAAGTGAGGCCTGCAGATTTTTAGAGGTTGTTCTCCTGGATGAGTTGTCAGTGCGCTTTCAGAGTAAACTTTGGTAGACTGGAACCTTGGAAAGGTTCACTACTACGAAGTTTTCTCCATTTGTGAATAATGGCTCGCACCGTGGTTAGTTGGGGTCCAGAAAACCTGAGTTTCTTTAGATTGTAAATGGTAAATGGCCTGTATTTGTATAGCGCTTTTCTAGTCTCTAAGGACCCCAAAGCGCTTTACACAACCAGTCATCCACCCATTCACACACTGGTGATGGCAAGCTACATTGTAGCCACATTGTAGCACTGACAGAGGCGAGGCTGCCGGACATAGGCGCCACCGGGCCCTCTGACCACCACCAGTAGGCAACGGGTGAAGCGTCTTGCCCAAGGACACAACGACCAAGACTGTCCAAGCCGGGGCTCGAACCGGCAACCTTCCGATTACAAGGCGAACTCCCAACTCTTGAGCCACGATTGTAGTGTGAAGTGTTGCTTTTTGAGATCTGTAAACCTACTTCACTTTGTCAGTTTGTGAATACAATAACTCAAGAACAAAGTGAAAGTGGCCTCTCTAAGAGGATCTCTTTGTACTCAGTCACATTACTGTTACTAGTAAACTTAATTTGTTACAACATGTTCCTCCAGCTGTTTCTTTTGAGTACCCTTAATTTTTGCAGTAGTTTTTTGTGCCCATCACAACTTTCTTTGAGACGTGTTGTCGTCGAAGTCAAAGTGAGCTTGTTTTTTCTTAAGATGGTACATTTTAATACAGTCTACCACCATCAGACTTTTTCAGATACTTGCAAGCCAGGCACGTTATTCGTTCCCAGATTTCAGACTCAAGCCCTCTACCAGGGCCTACACTATTAGAAACTCTCCTACAACTTAGTCCAACCAATATAGGGCTGATCACCGTGCTTTACAATGAAATGTTAAACTTGACACGTACCTCCTCATCCAAACTCAAAACACTATAAGAAGAAGACTTAGACTTAGACTCAGATCTGAATCTGCTAAAGACTGCTGTTTTAAAGTATATATCTCTAATATGGTCACCTGTGTGAGCTGTGGGCACAGAGCCACGCCCATTTACTGTTTAAACCTACTTACAAGGGGCAGCCAATCAGAAGATAGTTGACTAAAAGGGTGCACAAACACCTTTTTTTGACACAGGGTGAACTTAGGGGCTGCACAAAGGGTCTGTATAAGATAAGATGATTAAGTATTATTGTGAATCATGCAAAGCTATCAATTCTTAGGTATCTCTATGAGGTGAATGAGAAGTTTCTTTCTTGAGATATTACACATTGTATTTGCTAATATTTAAATGCTACCATTCTACTTGGAGAGCCCTAACTGTGGAAATCGCTGCTGTGTTTGCCGTGTTTTGCTTTTTTGTGTTGTTCTCGGCATCATGTCCACGTTATGCTGCTGTAGCCACTAAGCTAACACCTTGTGTGGCCTGTTTTGCCTCCTTTTGCTCTCCCAAACGATTCGTCCTCAGGGTGGCACCGTAAAAAGGAATGTGTTGTCAGTCAACAAACCTGTTATAAAGAAGGTAAAGACAAATGGAAGAAAAATTACTTTGTTGTCTCAGATCTGACAGCACCTTTTCCGAGTCTTCCCCGAGTGTTGACACAAACTGGCGTCTTTGTATCCCCCTTCCTGTTTCCATCACCTTCCGCCCCCTAAGCTAAGCTAACTTGTCGTAGCTTCTTATTTAGCTTACAGATGTGTGTGGTGTCAGTCTTTCAGTCTTAACTCTCAGCATCAATTTCTCAAAGTGTTGAAGTGACATTTTTTTTGTTTGTTTTCTTTTGTTTTTTTCACTTTCACAAATGTGCCAAATCAGGAGTCAGCCCCAGGTGATCTGCAGTCACCTTTGACCTCAGAGAGCATCAACGGTACAGACAATGACAGAGTTACACCAGATACACCTCAGCACCCCGAAGCCAGAGCAGAGCCTTCCCAGAATGCACTGCCCTTCTCACACAGGTAAACCAAAGTTCACTGGATCGCAGAAACAGTCGCACTTCTTGTTTAGTAACGTGTAACATCACTTTTCAGCACTTTATTTTAGTTCAGCTGGGTCTTCATTCATATTAAACAGTCTGGAAGCCTGAAACACAAAGAATTATTCATGGTGGTCAGCTCTAGGGTGCACAGAGAGAAATATTCTGTTGGTTTTGTAGGGCACCTTTTTTCACAACACGCACACTTGAGTGGGAAGATTTATTCTTTATTTTTGAAGCCTCTGTGTAAATGAAAGAAGATGAATTTTCATGGTAACCAAACAGAATCAGCTGTCAAAGAATTATTATTATTATTTTATTACATTTAGCTGTTTTTGCCTGAAATTCCCACATGATCAGCATCTTTGCTCACCCCACCGGAGCACTCCACAGATGCCTTGTTAATTTGCATTATGGTCACAGCAAGCTGAGAAATACTGCACTTGTACATCAGCGCACAGGTCCTGGTCCAGCCTTTGATTGGCTCTTTGGGACGGGACAGCCACCATCTTTTCTCTCATAGATTTCCGTTTAGAATAACACGAAGCTGAAAATAAGCACACATGTACACACCTCATGTATAGTAATAATTACACCAAATGCTGTTGAAAGTCACTCTGGGCCTAAGAACATTCTGAAGGGCGTTTTTCACCTTTTTCCAGTTATTCCCTTTCCTCCTTTGTCCATTTTCAGTTCATCCAGCATTAATAAGCACTGGGAGGCAGAGCTTGCGGCGCTGAAGGGGAACAATGCCAAACTGACGGCGGCTCTTCTTGAATCTACAGCCAATGTCAAACAGTGGAAGCAGCAGCTGGCAGCCTATCAGGAAGAAGCTGAGAGGCTACACAAACGGGTATCACTCTGTCCCTGCACACAGGAAAGTACTTACTGCGTGATCCCATTTTACCACGTATGAATGCTTTTTCTTTTCCTTTTTGGATTGCAGGTGACGGAGCTGGAGTGCGTGAGCGGCCAAACGACGGGGATTAAATCTCAAAAGACTGAACTCAACCGAACAATAGAAGAGTTGGAGTTGGCTTTGAAGGCTAAAGAGGAGGTACAACGAGTGCTTGTTCGTCCTACTGGGTTGAAGTCGTGGATTTTGCATGCCTGGACTTTGATTGGTGCGTTTACCATCTGTTCTGAGCTGTACACTCTTTCTGATCATGCTTGCAGGAGTTGGAGAGACTTAAAGCAGAGGTGGAGAGTGCCAATGAGTTTAGGTCCCAAAGAGATTCCCTCACACAGAGGCTACAGGTGAGTATTGCTCAATGATCATGTGTTGCATAAAGATTAATGCAGTCTGTAAATAGTGAGTAGAGCAGGGCGATATGGCCAAAAATATTTATCACGATATATATTTGAAAATTTGCGATAACGATATAACTGACGATATAATTGATGCGAGACAAAATACAACTCCACAACATTACTAGCGCA